ACTCTTTCCAAATTTCCTTTCTACCATACTATCCAAACATAAAGAGTAGAGTTTTGTGTTTACAGTGAGTAAAATACAGATTTTCTTTTAACTGGCAGGTTTCTGAACAAGGAAATTCTCTAAATCCAAACATATTCACAGTAGATTTACTTAATATTCACTGATGGTCTAACACTTAATTGCTGCTGTGAGGGTCATTCCTGTGTCAGCAAGTACTGCCTGCCACTCATCAGAGCAAAAGGGATCACACTAGGTACAGTAATCTAGGGGCTGAGCAGATAATACATGAGGGATAGAAAAAATGAAATGGTAGAAAAACTGAAAGAGCAAGGGATACAAAGATGGAGACATAACAGTTTGTATCCTTTGCAGAACAAAAGCCAACACATCCACTTTTAACCTGAACTGTATATATCTGCAGGGGCATGGACTTCTCTGAAAGGTGGGCAGTCAGTTCTTGCTCAAAGCCTTCAAGCCAACAATAATATTTGTACAGATACAGGTCAGAGTTCCTTTACTTAACAGGAGAGAGAGAGAACCCAAAGTGATGCTGTTTTATCTCACCAAAACATTTTATATGAATATATATGCTTTGTATTTTAAACTCCTTAAATTAATTTTAAGTGAACTATTATGTAGTATAATTGTTTCACAGATAGGAACACCATGGTCAAGCATTCTGGCTGTAATTTTTATTGTTTCAGATTTTTGCCCCAGTTTTGGTAAGAGTGATATTCACATTTTGGTAAGAGTGCCTCACATGGAATACTTTCCCTAAAAAGTTCTTGACACATCTGGATTGACCACAAAACAATCTGAATTTACAAGATATTATTTAATTGTACGTTTATATTTTTTGATCTGTCTCTTCGAAGATCCTCATCTAGGAGACAGTACCTATGCGGGGACATGAAAGACGCCACAGCTCTTAGCATGAGGTCGAACACATTATATGTACACCAAATAAATAGGTCAGCACATCATTGAATGCATAATCGGTCCTTCTACACTACATGCACAGAAGGAAAACTTACATGGTAATAGCTGATTAACATTGAGTCATACGTCCTAAATATCATACCTTTTTCCCTTGAATTCCAGGTAAACCCAGGTATCCTGGTTCTCCTGGCGGACCCAGTGCTCCTGGTTCTCCCTAAGTAACACAGAATTCACATGAAGATCACAGGCTTACTGCTTGTGAAAAACCCCACTGTTTTTATCTCTATATACATCTCAAATTTAAAACTGATAGTTAAAAATTTTGTTAGAGTTATTACTATAGAAATAGTAAAGAATAGTAAAGTTCACTGAAGTCCCAATAAAACTTCTTATATTTTTTCCTATCTTTGCTAGTTAAGAAATTCTGAGATCACATCATATTTTAAAATTTTATAAATATTTGGTATTTTTATTATATTTATAATGTCAACAATAAATAATAAAGCAGTGAAAATAATAAACACAGGTATCTCTCTTTGTATTTACTAATACTTTCCCATCCTCTTGAAATTGCTTTTTCTCATAATCTTCCTTTAAAAAAACTTATTTTATTGTTACAAAACTGGTAAGTAAATAGAAGTAATAAAATTATTGAAAATCTCATTACCCATTATTTTTATTTGGTTATATATTTTTCCCTCTACCTCTCACAAACACATACACAACTTAGATACTAAAATGTGCTGTGTATGCATAACTTAGGTAAACATAATCATTTACTTCAAAATATATTAATATTTTGAGTTCTTTACATGCCATTATGTTTTTTTTAATTTTAAATTACAGAATAGTATTCAACTATATTGATTTACCATATTTAATAAAATTTCTATTGTTAAACATTAACTTTCACAGTTTTTATTTTTATAAACAATTTTGGGGTGAACACCCTTGTAGTTAGATATGCAAATTTATGATTTTTACTTTATATATGTGGAATATTATTTTCTTAGACATAAATTCTTGAGCTGTTTTCAGAACAAGGAATAGTCCATAAGTTATCTTAACTCAATTTTTCTACTCCCTATCATGTCATAGGGATTATTTCCTTTTTTAAAAAAGACTTACAATGTGAAAGTATATAATGATGATGTATCAACAATATTTAGGTTAAAATTGTAAGAGATAGGACATGCTCCTGAATATGCTTCATGGAGTTTTGGTTTTGCTTTACTTGCTTTACCATTAGTCCCAAACTCCGTCATATTAAATAAAAACAACTTTCTTCTGTGGAAACTAAGTTCTGTTCTCTTTGCTCACTGTGAGCTGTTGAATATTACTCTAGATTTTTAAAGGCTAGAAGAGAATTGAAAATCTGATTGAAATAAACATCAACTATTTGGTTTGGAGGAAACTGGTAAAGGCAACTGTGACTCCCAGACTGAAAATAAAGTCCCATCAATCAGCAAACAAAGAAACTGCACCACCAGGGGAGACACACACTCATTCAGCCACATAAGAGCGTGATATACTCTGGACCAGAGAAGATGTTCATATTAGCATCCAAATTTTACTAATTCTAGAAAAACCAAACTAAAGCATATTTCATGCCTTTATTACCCAAACTATGATAAAATATCAAAAAAACAGAAATGAAATTGGCCCACATCCACCACTGGCTTTCAGGTACCCTAATTTTATGTTAAAAGGTAATCCTTCATTTCATCTATATTTTCTTAAGGGATACAAATGTTAATCTCATCAAATAATGAGAGGAACTCATACTTCTTTGAAAACATTTCCAAATGCTTCAAAACAAATTAATTACCTTGAGCCCAGAAGCCCCAGGCAGCCCTTGAAGTCCAGGTTCACCTTTATTTCCCTGTCAATGCATCAAAGCCATTTGAATTTTTTTGAATTTAGTCACCATATATCTGATACAGACACTTAAGGGAATACATTTTAAGCAACTTTTACATTTTCAACTTTCCAATTGTTTGAAATATAGAATCTATATGTGAAGCTTACTTATTAAGAAAAACTCTTTTAAGCAGAAAGTGAGTCCACATATTTATAAAGCTTTCTACCAGTCTGTCTGATGCTGGCAGCTCCAAGTAAAAAGAGAGATTCCAATCTTTAGGGACTGGCACTAATTAGCTAGGTCTTTGTGCTGCACAAGCCAGACCCATGTATCTTAATAGCATCTTCTAGGCTGGAAATCTTCATCTTTCTCTGTTTTGCTTTCTCTGTATGACTCATTTTCAGTATGCAACTGAAAAAAGAAAATTAGCCTCAAATGCACTTTTGAGTGGCTTTTGGAAGAAGCACGAATCAGAAAACTTTTAGTTTGCGATCTTTTTCAGGATTCCAGTGCAGTTCTTGCTAACAGACATTTGGAAAGCAAGACCAAGTTGTCAGAGCAAAGAATGTAAGATAGGAAAATAGGACTGGTTATAAAAGACAACCTGCCTCCTGGATCATCAGGAGAGATTGTCAGTGGTGGTTCTGACTTTCAAATATACTTGGACACCTGAAATCACAACCCAATCAATGTCTGGCAAAAACCTACAATTAAAGAGGTTGGTGTGACACCTAGAAGTGGGGGGTGATGATCACCCAGAGCCAGGTCAGGCTCACTGATCAGAAAAAGGAACCACTTTCATTCTCAGCTCACATTGAGAACCACGTGAGCATACTATTTGGACTTAATTAAAGCATTTAGCACATAAAAGCATGATTATACCATAGAACAATGGTTCCTTAAATTTTCTAATTTTCCAAATGATTAAGCTGAAACTCAGAGGTGACAGGACTTGTCAAAAGCTACATGACTTGATTATGTTAATATACCCTGATGTCATTTAGATAATATTTTATAAAACTGGAATATGATAGGGTAAAATAGACTTATAAATGGTTCAATGGCTATTTTAAAAAGAGGTATTATAATCTAAATTGGAAGTTTTCTAAAGATCTACCACAGAATTTCAGCCTCATCCCTGCCTTGCTTAACACAGCTTTTTTTGTCTTACTCTTGAACTTATATCAATTGTTACTGAAGGCATAGTTCACAAATATATTAGTTGACAAAACCAGAGGGATAAGGTAACTTAGAGGCAAATAAACTATGGCCTGTGGGCTAAGTCAGCCCAATGCCTCCTTTTGTAAATAAACTTGTAGGAAACATGGGCACATCCACACCGTGGCTGCTTTTACATTTCAATAGCAGAGTTGAGTGGCTGCCAACAGAAATTATATGGCCCTCAAAGACTAAAACATGTCCTATATGGCCCTTGGCAGAAAAACTTTCTAAGACCTGAAGTAATATACTGCATGAAAACAAGTTGAAATGTTTCACTGAAAAGATTACATTTAAGAGGTGTAATTTTAATATCTTGAATCTATTTTTAACAAAATAATTGTAGAAGGACAAGATGAGGGAAATCAAACTTTATAGTAATTTATGTAAAAAAAAACTGTGATGTTAGAATCAGCCACTTGACTCCGCAGCCACAACAGCAGACCTACCCAAGTGGTGGATGCCACAAATACATTGTTCTAACGTCTTTTATGGAAAATCTAGCAGGTTTAGTTGACCTCCAGCTCAGTGTGAGCCAACGATGCTAAGTGGCTAATTAAAAATGCTGACAAAATCTTAGGCTGCGTTCTTAAGAATTAGAGGATCCAGAACATCATGGGAGAGTCCATTGTACCCAGGTATTTAAGGAATATACAACTACTCTATTTTGTCTTACAACATGACCTTGCAACATGATGGAGAACCTCCACCTGGCAAGTGCACACTTACTACTGCTAGGACTCATAGTGTTCCAAGCACCCACAGGGTCCACCTCTGGTGAGAAGGCAGCTACTTTTCCCTAATCACTGGGCTCCCAATGACATTTTATCCTATCTCTTTCTAGGTACTTTAGAATTAAAAGTAGAGTAGATTAGGCCATCTACTCATTTTGTATGCCAGAATCTATTTCCCTGGTCTAGTTAAAGGTTGAATGCTTCCAAAACAGCAATTCCGTCACTTCCTTTTAGAAGGCTCTCCTAGAATCTACTTATTAAGTAGTCGAGAATAGTTTCTTGCGTTGAGCCAGAAGGTACCAGGTCTGATCCTCTAATAAAAAGAAATTCTCTTACACATGTCTCTGTACACCTAGAAAATGGTCGAATCATGGTACTCAGAGTGCCAGTTCTAGCTTAAGAATGACTTCACCTGACACCTAAATATATTGTCAAGTGTGCCTTACTTTTTAAATGTGAAAGTTAAGATAATGTGCCATCTTATCCATAGTCGCAAGGGAGGATAAAACTCACTACAAGGCATTTTACAAATAAAAGTTCCACATACATTCCACTAAATAAAAAACCAAGAAGAGGACTTGGAAGTTGGTAAAGTTACCCTCAGTGGTCACTACAGATACTCTAGATGGTGGGCTGGGTACAGAGCCCCAGAGAGCTCTGGGTATTCCTCAGTCCCCTGAGCTGCCAGTAAGGGAAGAGGGCTCTGCAGAGAGTCATGCAGGATCTTGGACCTTTTCCAGCTTAAACCAGGCCTGCTTTATGCTTTACATTAGCGTGTTTTATATTATAGCTTAGTTTTTGCCTAAGACTTCATTCCTACAAGTGCTTGTTCATAGAATTCAAACCACTTTCAAAATAAAATCAATGTAGTTAAAACTTTGACTGAAGTACCTAAATGGTCACTTTGCACAAAGCCCTCAATCTTGTTAAGTTAATTTTCTTTACCTTAGATCCTGGGGCTCCAGGCTGACCTGGTGAGCCTTCGCTTCCCATCAAACCCTACATTTTAAATGGAAATTGCAAGAGCAATTTAGAGAATAATATTTTTAAAATATTCAATCAGTTTTCAAGTTATACATTACCATCATAATCAATCCACTAAAATACAATGCAAGATATGGGAAACATCCCTACACACATCCAAATAAAGGATAATAAAGAATCAAACTATGCAAGATAACATGAAGGCTGGCAAAGCCCTTGTAACTTGGTTGCTTAAATCACCTACAAAGAGCAAAAATGACTGGAGAGCTAGTAGGAGACAAATGTAAAGAAAAGTTTCTTTTTTCTACACTCTACTTTCTTCCTTTCTCATGATGGGCAAGAATTAGATTTCTTCATAGATGTTATTTTGGTCAATTTTACTTATGTTTTCTGTTTTCTTGAATAATGATTTTAAAGAATTAAAATCTAATAATTTCTCTGAATGTAAGAATGTCTATTCAAGTTACAAATGGCCATATTTTTAGTAACCATATAATTCAAAATAAGACACTGATAACTATTCTAGCAACAAGGAACTAATTTAATTTAGATTCCATTTAAATACTATTACATATATAAAAAACATTGGCTTTCTCTTAATCACAGCAAAGGAAATGTGATGAGCAAAAAAATATTCAATTAGTATTATCAGAAAACAGAATCTCAGTATAGTCACATTGAAAATAGTATGTCATCACTACTATGGTTTGCTATCAATTCAGGATTTATTACAACTATAAAATGTAAAATATACTAGTCATAACATAGTTTGAAATATTAGAAATATTAAATATAGATACTCTTGAAGTTCAATGAAGTTCTAGTCAATGCTTTCATTTTCTGGAGGCTAACTTAAATACTGGTAAATAATCAAGTTGCATTTAATATTTCAATGAAAAAATAATTTGGTCTTGATGATGCAGGTAGAGGAAGAATATTCCATTCAAATCTTTCACCAAGATCTTATCAAATCTTTTCACTGGGTAAAATATCTGCTTTTTTAACTTACATAATTAAATGAAAGGTCATAAACTGTCCATTTTTTTTACTTAAAAAAAAGCTATTACAGGCAATTTGATTCATAGATTAAAATACACATTGCTTCTAACAATTTACTTTTAGAAATTATTTATGGAGTCCTATACACCATAGGATTATCATAATTTCTAATATCATACTCATATGTCCCTTTACTCCCCAAACTTCCAAAATTACTTGTTCACTAATTTAGGATCTTCCTATACTACCTGTTCTGAATATATTCTCCCTCATTAGTGTAATAAATTTGTAAATTTTCTAAAAAATAACAAAGAATATTTATTGAGTTTTAGACCTTCTCATGGTACTCAGTATTTTTTTTTAGCTAGGTTATTTGTTTTCTGGTTTATCTACAGTAAGTGTTCTTAATCCTTACTTGGGTAGCCAACTTTTTGAGAATCTGAAGAAATCTAGACTCCTCTAGAAAAATGAACATAATCTTTTTCATACAAATGCATGGAATTTGTGGATCCCAAAATTCTCATTGCTGAATCCTTCCACCAGTTTTGTGAATTTCAGAATAAGAACCTCTGGTACATAATGACAATATTTCAAACACCCCAGTAATAATAATGACATTAACATACAGGTATCCCCGGAGCTCCTTTTTTTCCTAGTGGTCCTGGAGGCCCAATTTCTCCCTAAAAATCAAATACAGATCAAGTTTAAAATTGCAGAGTATCAATTCATCTTTAGAAATTTCCTGCCAAAGCATTATGAAATGAAAACTCAATATCAATCAGCCCAATGTGTCTGCCTTTCCTTCCTATATTGTAAGACGAAGCAATGCAAGGTAAAAAATCATGAATCTAACATCTTAAAGACGTAGGCCTAGGGTCTGTGGAATTATTAAGGAAAATATTTTCATTAGGAAATCAGGAGCGGCACTGTTATTCTTTCAAAGGAAGACCTAGCAGTTCACACACAGTTAATGAGGTGAGACAACAGAGGGAAAAAAATCAAGTGAAAAAATTTCTTATTTACCGTAATTTAAGAGCTATGATAGTAAGTACAGATTAAGAAAAATTAGGACACAGTTTAATAGCATTTAGACTTCAGATTTGGGGATTGTGGCTGACCTGATGCTCCAAGGGATTTTCTGATTCCAGAACAACAACCCTGGAAAGAATATCCTCTTTGAGAAGCAGGAGAAGTCTTCAAAGATCCCTCACTTTAATAAAATATACTCTCGGTTATGATTGTGATTATGAGGATTTGGAAGTGTGCAGAAACCTTGCTAGAAGTTGAGCAGCAGGAAACAAGAGGGCTGGAGGTGTCTGAGGGGACATGCTCAGCTTTTAGGAAACTGAACACTGGGCCAGCTATGGGGAGAGGGCAGGAATCTTTAGTACCTACAATGGCTCAGGACCCTCAAAGGGCACTGAAATGGTACCCGTGGCTACCAGCAGGAGGCTCTCCATGACCCAGTTAGGCTGACAGGATGCCCACTAACTAGGATGAAGCAATGAGCTCAGCATCAACAATTAAGACAGGAGAGGCAGAAAACCACAAGACTGAGAATCAAGAGGAATAACAATGAACTGCAGCTGTCAGAATGGCTAGAAAGAGAATTTAGAACTATAGTGAAATCTTTACAAATGAAAGAATGGAATCATGAAAGACTACTAGGACTGAAGATAGAACAAGAGACTAGACTATCAAGAATAAAAAGATGTTATTGCACAGGGATATATATATATATATATATATATATATATATATATATATATATATATAAACTGAATAACTTTGCTGTCCCTTGAAACTAACACAATGGTGTAAATCAACTATACTTCCATAAAAAAGAATAAAAAGATGTTATTAAAATTTGAAATGAAAAATATGATTGTTTAGATTTTTTTAAAAATCAATTGATGGCTTAAACAGCAGATTAGACACAGCAAAGGGAGAATAAATAGACTGTTAAATATATCCAAAAAATTTAACCAGAATTTAAGAATCAAGGATATGGAAGTAAGCAATTTAGAGATGTAGAGGACAAAATTAAAAGGAATAAAATATGTCTAACTAGAATTCCAGAAAGAGGGAAGAGCAGAAGATGAAGAGAAGTAGCATGGAGATTAACAGCTCATGTCTTCCAGAGATAATGGAAATAGTTCTACAGAGCCAAGAAGCAAACTAAATTCCCACCCGGATGAATAAAGAGAAATCCATATCTAGATACATCGCAGTGAGTTTTAAGAACACTAAAAACAAATAAAATACCTTAAAAGAATCCCCAGAGAAGGGACAGGTCACTTACAAAAGAATGATGATTCAAGCAAGAGCATATTTTTCATAGTTAACCATGGAAGCCAGGAGATGACAGAAGAAAAATTTCAGTGTATTCAGAGGAAATAATCATCAATCTTGAATTGTATACTCTACAAAATCCTCTCTCAAAAACATACTAGTAATTGAATAAAACCTGAAAGTTTATAACCAAAGTATTTGTACTAAAAGAATTTCTAAAAATACAGTTTAGTAAGTAGTACAATTTTCCCAAAAGTATGGTCTAAGAGCACAAGATAGAAAGTAACTAAGTAAAATAGAAAGCATGTATGTAAATCCAAATTCATATCTGTATAAAACAACAACAAAAACTAATTGTAAGGTCAAAATAATAGCTTCTGAAATTATATCATGTTTGAACCATTAACTGTTGCCATGAATGTGGTAAAATGTATTCTATGTGAAGAGACATCACCACTTTGCCCTTTTCATAATCAGATTCCAGGCCCAAATCTTTCACCTTTCATTAGTACTTACTTTTTGTCCCATTAATCCTTGGTTTCCAGGAAATCCTGGGATTCCCTAAAAAGAAATAAAGTAGATTTTTAATTTAAAAAATTTAGACTGTATCATTAAAGAAGAATAGGCCATAACTGGAGCTTTAACTTGTAAATAATGCAAATCATCAAACATATCTCTTGACTACATGAAACCACTACTTACATTAATCAAGTTTTGGAAAAGAAAAATTTATGAGATTTATTATTATACATCTGATATTTAAAGTTTTAAATACAGGCTTTAAAAAAAAGAAGCTATGAAGATATTAATCTTGGCTCTTCTTTCAGACCAACATAAGTGATAAAATAAGAAGGATATTTCATTTGAACACTTTCTTATGCTACTTATAATGATTAATGCAAAAAGACTGTCAAATCATAGGAGTTCAGATTCAGTACAACAGTTCCAAAGGCCCTCATAGTCTCACAACCATAACTGAAAACTAATGAAACTAAATAAATTCAGTTTCCTCCAAATTGAGCCTTGAAACACCCAGGAACCTAACTCCTTGTATAAGATATGGCAATCTTTCTCCTAATGATTCCCTTGCTGATAAAATTGTGGAGCATATGCAGACCAGTTTGTAGAGAGACAGAAAGAAAGAAATAGAGAACTCTTTCACATGGCTGAGCCTAAATGTATGAGTTCTCTAGCAAGATTCAGAGAAAATTAATGCTAATTGTCTGAATTTGAGAATAACGTGAGCACATTTAATAATGGGAAAGCAGTTCTATTGTCATTCACTGCATTTTCCAAAATGATCATTTATCAAACAAACAGTGATGGTACTAATTAATTTTTATTTCTTATTCATTTTTCTTAGCTCCTTTCTTGATGATACTTCAATTGAAATAATGAATAACATTTGTTTATATATATATATATATATATGGTGCCCAATTTTGAGTACCACTGCTGTTCTTTGAAAGCCCTGAAGATGCAGAGAGCTTTCAAAGAAATACTGATGGTGCCCAGTTTCCCTGTCCTTTGAGTTTCCTTTTCTGCCAAAGTCTAGACTTTGGCAGAAAAGGAAACTCAAAGGACAGGGAAACTGGGCACCATCAGTATTTCTTTGAAAGCTCTCTGCATCTTCAGGGCTTTCAAAGAACAGCAGTGGTACTCAGTAAATCAGGGCAACTAGATCAAGTATCTTCAACAACAGGGAAAGTCTGCCATTGTTTTGATTTTCAAATCTTGACTATTAATACAATACTGGTCCATGTGGTAGCCACAGTTACAGTGGAAGATATGGCACACAGTTCTAGTTTTAAGATCCAAACTTAAATGATAAATTGGAATTCAGTTTGATCCTATTTGGCTCAATTAGTTCTCCATGGCACTACCTCCTTTGCAGAGAAAAGTTGTTTGAGAGCAAAGCCCATCAACAAGGGACTAGCATTCTGGTTGCTTTATAAACATACTAACTAGAGAATAACATAAAACAATATAAAAATTTAAAGTAACATTATAAAACATGAGCACAGAATACCCTATCAGCACTCTAATCATAAAGCAAGAGTAAATAATTGAGTTACAAGTATAAAGAAAACAGAGTGAAACGAATTGTATCCTTTCTAAGGCAGAAAATGCATACTCTCAACACAATAAAAGTCAATATTGTTCAAAATAAAGGCTTCCATTTCAACAGACCATGATTTGGCATGAAACCACCCAGAACCAACTCTCATTCAAATACACACTCATACAAACTCACCATAATGATTAAGTTCTGAATTTAAATAAAATTCAAATAAAATCTGTCTGTAGAATCTTATCAGATGCAAGGTGGCCATACATGGTTCTGCAGCTGTGTCAATACCGTGTTGCTTGGCCCCAAGAATCTCTAAAGTAATCCTGCAATTGCCCTGATACTTCTCAGACCTGAGAAGCTGAATTTCATGCTGCACAGAACTCTTTGTTACTTAAGGTTTCAACCCTATTCAAGTTTCTATGCTCTTACACAATCTATATTAGTAGGAATTAGTTACTCCTGTTTTTGCAGCCAATCCCACCGTCAGCAAGGCTATATTCTCACTCTGGGGAAAAATAAAATTATGCCTAAGCAGTGCCCTGGCCTCACTTCCCAGGAGATCTTGAAAGCACCCCCCCACCCAGGTCACTCCCTGAATTTGATTTAACACCTTTTATCTGAATAATTCTAATTCTGAGCATGGTCTGCATTAGGACATAACCACAAATCTTACATTATTTCAACATATCCGATATTGAGGGTATTTGGGAGATCTCAGATTAGGAAAAAAATAGATCCCTTTTCCTACTGCCTGTGTTCATAAGTTAGTAAAACATGAATACATGTCATAGATATGCAAAAAAGTCATAATGTCTTCTAGGTCCAACTATACCAAGAACTACTAAATACTTACTTTATAAACACCAAGCAAAAAATACATAAAACTATATAATATTTTTTAAAAATGTAAAACTGATTTATAAAAGCAATTCCTGGCAAAACTAATATAATGCCATGAGCATGCATGGAATAAAAAACTGTTCAGAGAGAGGTTCACCAGAAGAACTGAAATCACTCAGAGCTATATTAGTTAATAAAATTCTCCTAGACAATATTTTCCTGGGTTCCCAATATATTCACTGAAATTGACTATAAACTTTGCCAATTTTACATTACTAGAAATATTATTCAAAACCATTTGAAAGTTACCAGTTTGTTGATCCAAAAGTATTTAGCAACAATTACTTCATAGGGTAAATGTTTTTCCAAGCAAACTATTTTATATTTCATTTTCGGCCTGTGTGGTTTTGGGTTCAGGCAACTGTGAACATGTGTAAGTAAAGACAGAAGCAAGAATTTCATCTGGTGAGAATAAAGGGACATATTTCCTCCATTTCTGTGATTTCAGCTTGGGTTTGAGGAAGAGCAGAAAGTCAAATGGAAAATCCTGTGTAATGTTGTGGTGAAAGAATGCTGGCATGAAAAAATGTTCTAGAAGCTTCTCTGTAACCATTAAACCATTGTTGTATAACAAAAAAATCATTAAAAATAGAAATGCATAATTTAGAATAAAGGGTTTGGCCCCTATTTCCTAGAGACCACTTTATAATGAAGGAAATGTGTCTATGATGCGTTACTTAAAAAGATAGGATATCACTTTATACTTTTCCACATGCAATGGAATACTTTACTCCTGAAATTAGAGCATCTTGGATCAAATCTGCTGTTAAGTAATGCAATAATTTCAATGTGCTTAAAAGAAATCTAATCAACTAATGGTATTTTTAAATCAAAAATTTCAACCTTTCTACACAGTTGTAGAGATATTTAATATCATACAGTTGTCAAAATATTAGAAGCATATTATGTTTTCTTCTATTATATCAAGAAGTGATTTGTTCATTATTAAAGATGCAATGACTACAAAACACATATGTTGAAAGTATCATTCTTATTAGCTACAAAGATTATACTTATTATTAATAAAGAGCATAGAAGAGGCAGTTAAAAGTTTAGATGCTGGAGTCAGCTAGCCAATTATCTAGTGCTGATTGACTCCAGGCCAGTTATTTAAATTGGAATCTCAGTGTCCCCATCTTATACATGGAGAAAAATAATAGAACTTAGCTCTAGGGTTGTTACATTATATGAATTAGCTCTCACAAACACTTAGCTCAGTGCTGGGACTAAAATGAACAAATTTTCATGACTTTTCACAGCTCCTCCCTGACCTTTGAAAGTCACAAAATAGATGAAGTCAATTCTTTTCCATGTCTCAAAATTTGTCCTCCTCCATTTTGAGGATATCTTTTTTTTTTTTTTAACGTGTCTTTCCACCTTGCCTTTGTCTACCTCATTCCCCAAAGTTTACACTGTATTCAAGATGACTTTGGCAATCTAAGGCTTCCCACTGGGAGGCACCAACAGGTTTTCCTTGCCCCTCATTCATTACCCTTGCCTCTTCATGTTTGGCTGACTTTGATTATAGAAAAACACTACTATGGGGTTCCAGGATCAAGATGGAAAATTAGAAATATCCTGAGCTCACCTCCTCTCATGGACACACCAAAACCACAACTACATATGGAACAACCATCTCTGAGAACAGCCTGAAGACTAACTGGACAGACCTTCTACAACTAAGAACAAAAAGAAAAGGCCACACATCAAGAGGCAGAGAAGCAGTCTAGTTAGAACCCACATCCTCATTGTGAAGACCCACAAGCGGGAAGGGTATCACAGCTGGAGAGGTGCCCCCAGGGCGTGAGGGGTGTGAGCCCCATGTCAGGCTTCCCAGCCTGATGCCCTGCACTGGGAAGATGAACCCCATAATGTCTGGCTTTGAAAACCAGTGGGGTTACACTCACTCCAAATCCCAGCACAGACACAGCAGCTTAAAAAGTATCTGGGTCATAGGAGAAGGAGATTCACTGACTAATTTTATGGCAGGTGCTGGAAGGACAGGGATCTGGTCGAACTTGCTCTGGGGACAGAAGCACTGACAGGCATCATTCTTTTTTACTCTCCTTATACCTAGCTGGCCTGGGCGGGGGGCACCACTTCTGTCATCTCCATCAACCTAGCTAACACCATGCGTCCCAGCCCAGCATTCCCCAGAGGACCTTCCCAGGCTAGCTCCTTTAAAGCAGCTCCCACCCCATCATACCCAGCAGACTGCCCCAGCTCCCCTCCAAAGCAGCGCCTACTCCAGGGGACCAGCCGTGCACACCAGGGTGCCTGCAGCAATCACAGCCCAATCACAACAAGAGGGCACATGTGACCCACACAGGGGATACTCTAGGAGCACCTGGCTCTGGTGAAGAGAGGGGACTGCACCACTGGGCCCCATGGGACATCTTGTACATAAGACCACTCTTTCAAGACCAGGAGATGTAGCTGTTATACCTAATACATAGAAACAGACATAGAGATTTAGGCAAAATGAAGAGATGAAGGAATACCGTCCATGTGAAAGAAGACATAACCTCAGAAAAAGAACTAAATGAAATGGAGATAAGCAATTTACCAGATAAAGTGTTCAAAGTAATAG